GTACAACACTGACATTTGCATGATGGGAAAATAGGGAAAATAGCGTAGAGAAGAGTCATTAACAGAGATTTAACTGAAAATTATTGCTTATATCATACATGTGTTTGTACTACAGTTTGAAAAATTGCAGATAATAGTGCAGTTACACTGCTATGGTGTGAATGAATAACAAGGATATTCGCAAGAATACATTAGTGCGCATTCAAATACACACTCTCAAATACAAAAGATAATGAAGAATGTCAATGACAAATAAGCAATGGCATGTCAAGGAATCATAATAAAGAAAAGGGAAAATAATCTAGTTAAAAACACATGTGCCAAGTTCCTGGATGGTAACCAGGACGGTTTTCCACATTTAACCAGGATGGTTTCATATGGTTTTGAAAAAAAAATAAAAATAATAATAAACATTTTTTTTAAAAAAAAAAAAAACAGGTGCAACCATCAAGTACAAAGTAACTCCCTTCAGACCTTGAAAAAAATGTGGGTGTACACACCTGAATCATTATTTGAAAAAAATAAAAAATTAAAAAAGTATCTTTTACAAAAATAAATATAAATTTTTATAGTTATAGTTATATTTATTATAGTTAATAAATATACATTTTTGGGGGACCTGCATCACATGACATTTTACTACTATTGCGTTTTCATAAAACAGTAAGAAGGGGTTTTATCTATGATATCACTTCCTGTTTTATGTTTTCTGCATGTTTTTAACAGGTGACTTTGATTTAACAGACAAAAGTTTTTCGAATAATAAGCATAGCAGTTTTTATTGATATGTGATTTGAGAATACACAAGATTAGTAATATACCTAACAATTAAATTATTTGAAAATGCTGCTACCAACATTTTATACTTTATTCCCATAAAAAGTATCAAAATAACTTTAAATTGAGAATTTAAATAGAAAATGCGGATTCAAGTTAAAGCATGTATGAATCACATTTTAAATAATAGATGAGTCTCACAGCATTGACCCATTTGTGTCTGTCTTTCTGTTTATGTGTAGATGCTTGGCAGGTCTTTAGTCATGACAAGGGCTCTTCAAACTATATACACTCCATAGAGCAACCAAGAGAGCAAATAAAAGCCCTCACAGAGACACAAAAGCTCTCCTGGTCTGAGTGTCATGAAGGACTCTCTGGGATAAAAGGCGGCTATACAGGACATGAGTGAGAGCGTTTGTGTGTGTTTTAGGTCTACTATGTCTGAAAGTTAGGGTGTCAGCAAGGTTTAGATTAACTCAGGATTCAAACAAGGTGACCATTGCATTAAGACTCAAACTCTGTTGACTCGCCAACAAATAATCTAGGAAGTTAATGTTTATTGCTGAGGAGACTCTTAAAAGAAAACACTCACATGATGAACAGAAAAGTGCAGAACCTTGTGTTCTTCTCAGTGACTAAGCAAAAACTCTCAATAATTATTAAACCTCATCTCTGACGAACGTCGACCTTTGCGACACTTCATAATCAATGTGCAGATTAACATTAACTCTGCTTAAACGAGAATCCACTTTAATTTAACAGACTCGACTTAACCAAATCGGGTTTTTAAATGGCCAGCGATCAAGGCGACCGGTGGTCCATAAAATGGCGATATATATACATAAAGGCCTGGTTTCAGGCAGGGTTTAGATTAAGCCATGATTGGGCCTCAGTTTAATTAGGATGTTTAAGTAGCTTTTATGAAGAAAACATTACTAGTGCGCATCTTGAGACAAAAAAAAAAAAAAAATGGTGCTTAAAGGGATACTCCACTTTTTTTTTTAAATAAGCTCATTTTACCACTCCCCCAGAGTTAAAAAGTTGTGTTATACCGTTTTCGAATGTATTCAGATGATTTTTTTGATATTTAGAAGAATATCAGTAACCAGACAGTTTTTGGTCTCATTGACATCCATAGTATATTTTTTTCCTACTATGGAAGTCAATGAGACCAGAAACTGTCTGTTTACCGATATTCTTCTAAATATCAGAAAATCGGCTGAATGGATTCCAAAACGGTAAAACTAAACTGTTAAACTCTGGGGGAGTGGTAAAATGAGCCTATTTCCAAAAAAAGTGGAGTATCCCTTTAAGATACACCAGTGCAAGTTCAGACAGCTCAAACATACATTTTAGTCTGGGACTAGGCTTAAGCCTTGTCTGTAAACAGCCAAATATCATTTAATTATAGTGAAATCAAATTAACACTTAATATTTAGACAACTTCAACTTAAAGTTCCCTAAATTTAACTTTCATATTGAGCATAAAATAAGTTATCCAGCAAAAAAGCTGCTGATTGATTTTAAACCTGAAACATAAGGAAACTTCCACTTCCGTTAATCGCCCAAGCGGTTAGACTGAAATGGCCAAATGTGCAATTCATGATGGGATCCCAACAGCTTATGCACTTTATGTCTTCATGTAGACAGGAAATAAACCTCCATGTCACAATAATAATCAATCAGATATACTGAAAGTAGCAGAAATTCAAAAAAAAAAAATTAAAATAGGGGTGAATTCTTGAAACCTATTAAGAACATTGTCTAGTATGTCACCCCAAACTCAAAATTAAGCACATTCCAACCCTAGTATTTATAATGTAACAAATCATTGCAGTAATGAGAAAGGATCTAAAGAGAATAACCACTGAGAATAATACAAAACGGTATGTGTGTGGTTCTATATAAATAATCCTGTAAAAAACGGTAAACTATTGGCAGCTGTGGTTGCCAGCATCATACCGTAAAAATACAGTGTGTTACTGTTTTTGAAATTAACAGCTAAATACCGTATTGTCAGCTACAGTAGCTACAGGTATTTGCTTTAACACAAAAACAGTAACACACCGTATTTTTACGGTATTTTTACAGTAGTTTACCGTTTTATTTTTTTTTTACAGTGTAAGTATTTTAGATCAACATCTGGATCAGAGGAGGCCACTTAACAATATTACATAAAGAACACATAATGGTTCCTTTTAAAACAGAACACGTGTGTGGAATCAAATGATGCCAGACAGAGTGAAAGACATGTGGACATGGTGACCATCATACCCACAACACCATTCTCAATTCCTGAAGTCCTCAGTTTCAATTCTCTATGAAAACAGGCTACAGTAAAACATTTATCCAGTCATTCATTTAAAACACACACAATGATTTTTGTTCACATGACTTAAAAAACTATAGTCAAAAATGCTCAAGCATCATTTACTGTTATAGTATACAATATGTATATAGTATGTTAAAGTAACACTTCTTATTAAATTAATATTTAATAATATTTATTAAATAAGCTTTTTTAAGATTAATTTTTTTATAATTATCACTCATTATTTATATGTTTGTAATTGTAAACTAATTTTATTTTAGGTGCCAACTGTTTAAGTTTTCCATCTAATATTCATTTCAGCTTTGATTTTAGTTAACACAACGCTGCTTACAATAACAAAACAAAACAGGAAGGAGGAAATAGAACATTTAAAATGATAAAGTTTAAGTGAATATACACACAAGCAAACAAATCCTCACATAATAATCCTTTTGTTTTTGCATACACACACACACACACACGCACACACAGATCCAAGTGGACAAATCCCTAATGCACACATACCTGACTATAAACTAAAGCACTTAATTTTCCTACACTGCACATTGGGATGAACCCGCACCCGCACACTGATGACATCTTGAGGTTTCTTATCTTGTAGTTTGAACTCTTCACGCCAACTGTTAATCTACTTACTGCAACACAATGTGACGAGTCCTGATCAAACACAGTCCGCTGATTCAGACACACACAGCTGGTGATCTGCTCAAAATTGCCTCCAGTGAGCACTTTTCTGGTGTCTCATCACTTTCTCTTGATGATTTCTGTGAGAAATCTGCACATGGAGAATCAAGATACCTCTGCCACTAACTAAAGAGATACAGGAACCTTTCTGATAAGAGTAACACGCACAGGTCTGGGCCCACCCCAACAGCAAACATAAGACTGAACAAGTCCAAAGACCAACAGCCAACACTGTGGCGCTCAGTTACATTTTACGCTATTTTAAGCTCACTTGCATAAACTGCTAGTCAAATTATGCTATTTTCTTTGCATTGTAATACAATTGAATATCTGGTAACAATAAGGTTTCATTTGTCAACATTGGTTAACATGAACAACACGTTTACAGCATTTATGGTAACACTAGTTTATGGTTCAATTGTCATTATTAACTAGTTGCTTATAAGAACATTATTAGGATTTTGGCTGTTTATTAGTACTTATAAAGCATATTAATGCCTAGTTCTACATGACCATATTATACTTCCCAATACTTAAACATAACTACCTTACAAACTATTAATAAGCAGTAATTAGGAGTTTATTGAGCCAAAAGTCAATAATTGGGCCCTGATCTAAAGTGTAACCACATTTATTAATGTTAATTTCAACTTGTACTAATACATTATTAAAATCAAAAATATTATTTGTTAACATTAGTGTATGGTTAACACTTTATTTTAGTGTCCTTATTAGATGTTACGTGTAATAAAATAAAACTTTAAATGATGCATAACTACATGCACCTAAACCAAACCCAATAGTATTTATTACTCAATACTTAAATGTATACTTAAACTGCAACACAGACCTCTTAATATAGTGCAACCACATTAGTAAATACACACATAGTGAACTTATATTTTTACTAACATTAGCAAAACATTTAAAAATGTATTTGTTAGTTCATGTTGCGAGTGCATTAATCAATGTTAACAAATGAGACCTTATTGTAAAATGTCACTAAATATCCTAAGCGAGCAAATATATTGTTTTCCTTTATAAAGTTCCCCTGAAGGTCATAATGTCATTACGACACGGACGCATAAACATCAATTGTTTAAATAAGACATCAGCCAGAACTGAACAAGTGCTCAAACACACACATACTTTAGAATCCCAGCGGTCACAGACACACACACACAAAAAACACAAACACAAACGTTACCTGTCTTTTCAGGTGAATGAATGTGTGTCCGAGTGGCAGTGTAGCTGATGTGTGTATGTTGTTTCACTCACACACAGTCACACACACACTCAGGCCTTCTGTTTGTCTGGCGTCAGCAGTTACCCTCTTCTCTCTCTCTCTCTCGGTCAATCTCTCGCTCTCACAAACAATCTGTGGGGTAGAGAGGCGGAGTGTGAGATTGGAGGTACAGTTGGTAAAGGAGTGTTTACTCAGTGCATGTTAGGGGTGGGGCAGAGCAAAGGTGCCTCCTCCTACACATCTCTCCTATATTTCTTTCTTTCTTCTTTTTCCTTGTCACACCCAAGAACATTTCTCTCCAGTTTTTTCTGGAAGCAAACGAGATGTCTGTGCGGGTGCGTGACTGAGTGCGCTGGGCTGTGAATCAGGTTGTCCATTGACTAAGCAAAAGTTCATTACAGGTGGCGAATGACCGAAAAACTGTTCAGCTTGACCTGGAATCAATTTCCTGAATTCCTGGGTTCAAAAACATTTAAAGACAAAAAGTTTAAAGCTCATCAGCCCTCATGCCCATTCAAACCTGGAAAGGTCTGTGAAATTTTTCCATTCCTGTTCCCAAGAAACAGGTACTCACACGTTACAGTGTGTCTTGTGTTGCTTTGGTTACTTAGATAAAATGGAAATCATTGATTTCGCAAATGGTTGTGTGTTTGCGTGTGTTTTTTATAACCACCACTAGCCAAATGAAAACACTTATGAAAAACAATTGTGCACCCCAGACTACTGTATACTTAAAGGAGTAGTTCACTTTTAAAAAAACTTTTACTGATAATTTACTCACCCCATGTCATCCAAGATGTCCATGTCTTTCTTTCTTCAGTCGAAAAGAAATTAAGGTTTTTGATGAAAACATTCCAGGATTTTCTCCATATAATGGACTTCAATGGGAACCAAACAGTTCAAGGTCCAAAAGAGAGTTTCAGTACAGCTTCAAAGGGCTTTAAACGACACCAGACGATGAATAAGGGTCTTATCTAGTGAAATGATCGGTCATTTCAAAAATAAATAAAAAAGTTTAAGTTTTATACCCACAAATGCTCGCCTTGCTCTGTTCTGTGATGAGCGTTCGTGACTCTCCTGTTCAAAATGAACAAATCTTTTTTCGAGTCATGACTCGAAGGTTCCTAGATAAGACCATTATTCATCGTCTGGTGTCGTTTAAAGCCCTTTGAAGCTGCACTGAAACTCTCATTTGGACCTTGAACCGTTTGGTTCCCAATGAAGTCCATTATATGGAGAAAACCCGGAATGTTTGCATCAAAAACCTTAATTTCTTTTCAAATGAAGAAAGAAAGACGTGGATATCTTGGAAGACATGGGGGTGAGTAAATTATCAGCAAAAGTTTTTTTTTTTAAAAGTGAACTACTCCTGGCTTTAACGCATTTAACATTGAAACATTTTGCACAAAGAAATGAATTTTACTTGTGAAAAATCATAAAAAGGCATTTAAAGTCTAATAAAACAATTTTACATAAAATTAATGGTGTTCGTTTTTACATTAAAAAAATCCTTAAAATCACGGTTTCCACAAAAAAATATTAAAATATTTTACTTTGCTAATAAAGTGTTTCTTGAGCAGCAAATCAGCATATTAGAATGATTTCTGAAGGATCATGTGACATGTTGAAAATTCAGCTTTACCATCACAGGAATTAAAATACAATTTTACATTGTAATACTATTTCACAACATTACTGTTTTTTTTTTATTAATTAATTAAGAACATATAAGACACTTTGTTTAAAACATGAATACCAAACACCAAACATTTGAATGGAAGTGTACCTTTAACACTTTCTTTTAGTTCATGGACATGTTATTTATCAACTACCCGATTATATGTTTCTGCAGAGTCAGTGAGATGTCATATGATGGTCACTTGTTACACATTCAGCTGTAACTACTAAAAATCCTGGGGTTGGAATGAGGGAGGGGGATGAGAGAAGTGCAACAGGGGATGTGCATTTACAGGAAATGACGTTGCGCTTAAGAGCCGAAACAGTTTTTGTTCTAGGCGGCTGGCTGATCACAGAAATCCCTAGTAGCCACACTAAACACACACACACACAAAGGGGTGGCAAACCAGTTGGATGGATCCCTCAACTGAACTGTCTACAACAGTCCTGAGCTCAAAACACTAGTGCACACACATTAATTCACAAGGAAACATTTCAGAAGTTACATTTCAATCAAAATGCAACCTTGAAATGTAAAATAGCACTATCAGTGATTATCTTTTTAATCATTGGCAACCTTATAAAACCTGAGCACATGATGCATTGTGGGTAGGCTAATAAAGCAGGGTGAGGCTGTGTTGAAAGTCAACATGCCTTGAGAGGGAGCAAAGTCTGCTTTTATAGCCTAATCAGTACCCATTATAAACATGTAAAATCCTTCTCCTACATTCAGTTCAAGTCTATTTCCTTCTGTTCTTCCTCAGGATAGAGGGATGAGAGAGTTTGTTTGTTACAGAAAAAGGGATAGAGTATTAGATAAATGTAAATGAAACATATGAACTGTATTCTCAAGGGAAGGGGATATAAGACGTACGAATGTGTTTGTGTGTGTATTGTGGGGGATAAAGATAGATTGTGTAAGTGTGTTTTAGTTTTGCACACATTGCGTCACACAATGCCGGTAAAGGTTACTGGAAAATCAGGTTTAACTTAAACTTCTACACTGTACGAATAGATGAATAGACTAAAGACGCACGCAGGCACGCAAACAGACATGCGCTCTGACTGACTCTCTTTGCTGGTAACACTTCTAACCTACAGTAGATCTCTGAGTCAAGGTCATCTGATGGTGACTGCGCTGATGGCTCAACCACTCGAGAGCTTTAAATATCACCAGACATGGAAGAGCCATATTGAATTGCAAAACAGTGTGATTTTGGACCAATGAGATTTCACTGTAGGCGGGGCTACAAAGCGCATCGGCACACTAATATAAATAAAAAAAATTATTTAGAAGAATTTCAGGGAACTTTGACCTGTTGTGCAAATATATTTGAACAATAGAGGATCCAAACATCATGCCCTAGGAATGTGACGTCATATCAATTTGTTGCGTGTTGAAGCGATTTCGCATGCTCAATGCAAAAAAATATTGTTGGTTTAACTTAAAAAATGAAATAACCTGGTTGCCTTCAAATTTTACGTTCTTTGAAATGGAAAAAATGAGTTAATACAATGAAGGAGATTGATTTAATCATCATAAACTCAAAATATTATGTTATCTGAACTACATAAATTATTTAAGTTGATTTGACACAACATTTTTTCTTTTGTCAAATCAACTTAAATAATTTATTTAGTTCAAATAACTAATTATTTTGAGTGTCTGATGATCATTGTATTAACTCACTTTTTCCAGTTCAATCAACTTAAAATTAAGGCAACCAGGTTACTTCATTTTTTAAGTTAAACCAATTTTTAAGTTAGTAATCATGGAGGATAACATTGGTTGTAACCACATTGTGTCACTGCTCATTTGCATAACACTGAACTCTGTTTAAAGGGATAGTTCACCCAAAAACAAACCTTCAGTCATTCCCAAAGACTTTTGTTCATGTTCGAAACACAAATTAAGATATTTTTAATGAAACCTTTCTGTCTCTCACTTGAAAGTCCATTCTACTTAAGTCTGACGTTTCAAAAAGTTCATAAAAACATAGTAAAAATAATCCATATGAATCAAGCAGTTTAATTCAAGTCTTATTACTTTTCAGATGTCTTTATGAAAATAAGTATCAACATATAGGTAAAGAATATTCGATGAAGGGCCAGAAATCTCTCAGGTTTCATTAAATATATACATTTGTGTTTCAAAGCAGAATTAAAGTCTTATGAGAGTAAATAATGACCGAATTTATAATTTTGGGCTACTATTTGCAGACAGTCTCTCACTAATGCCAACTTTAATTGAAAAAAAATTTACTTTGTCAATTTTTTTAAATAAAATCATTTTAAATGCACTTAGTCTTCAGATTTTCTCATTGAACACGGACTAAAGGGTCATACACGTTTTTTTGAGAGTTTAACACTTAAAGGGTTAGTTCACCCAAAAATGAAAATTCTGTCAGTATTTACTCACCCTCATGTTGTTCCAAACCTCTATGTGTTTATTTGTTCTACTGAACATAAAGGAAGATATTTGGAAGAATGTTTTAATCAAACAGATCTCATTCCCCATTGACTACCATAGTAGGAAAAAATACATACTATGGTAGTCAATGGGGATTTAGATCTGCTTGATTAAAACATTCTTCCAAATATCGTCCTTTGTGTTCAGTAGAACAAATAAACACATAGAGGTTTGGAACAACATGAGGGTGAGTAAATACTGACAGAAGTTTCATTTTTGGGTGAACTATCCCTTTAATGTAAATCAGTAATGCCGTGTGTTATTTTTAATGTTAAGAGAAAAGTTACTTTTTGTACTATTCTGTTTTTCGATGTCTTAGCTGAAGGACAGGGTGTTCTCACCGAAAAAGAAACACTTGTGAATATGTGAGTCTTCAGTATCAATGCAAGAGGGATGAGATGTTTTAAACAGTTACATATAAAAGAAGGCACGCTGCTAGGGACCATTGTGTTCTCTCAACCCTTCATTTCACACGTACACACACTACAGCAGATTTGTACATCAAAATGTGAGTGGTACATTGGTAATGCAATTAAGATGTGCACACTATAGTATAACAGTATTCACACACCAATGCTGCTTTTGTGTGGTTTGTTGGGTTCAATGGACGGGGCCTATTATTACTCACTACAACAAAGTAAAGAAGAAAGGGGAGAGAGCAGTGTGTAATGAAGCGGCATAAAAGCATTAGCAAGACAGAGAGAAATTGAGCGACTTGATTTAGACATGCAGAACTTGTGTCACTAAGGAGACCAGTGTGTGTGTGTGTGTGTGTGTGTGTGTCACACGGTGGGATATCCCAAATTAAGTCTTTGGACTAAAAGAGCTCCACCCCACAGAAGTCACTATTAATCAAACTACCTGGAGGAGAACCGTACTGAACACACACACACACACACAGCTCTTCTAGTCTGTCTATAGAGACAGTATAAGAATGCATTCATTGTGAAGTGCAGGTATTTGGTGTGTATTAGGGAGAGAGATGGGAAGAAAAGCAGAAGGGAGAGAGAGGAGATCCTGTTTCACTCACTCACACACAACTCACATACACTTGTCCAGATGTCGGTCAGGGTTAAAATCAAGCTGAGGAGGTCACATGATCAGTCATATGACTTTAAGAACACAGAAAGAGAGGTGACCTGTCTTGCTCTCCCTCTCTGTTTCCTTATTTATATCTAATAGCACATCTACAAAGTCAAGAAAGACTGACTGAAAGACTGAAGGTGGATGAATAATAAATGTGTGCGTTTCCCGCAAAGAGGAAACAAAAGTACTGAGTCAATAAAGAATGTAGAATTGAGAAATGTCCCTAAATCTTATCATTTGAGTTTGTGGGGATCAAGAAATAAAGTGTTTGACTGGTTTGGAAGTCTTTTTCTTCTTCATAAATGAAGAAAGTTGGGCAATAGGACCAGGCAATATTGAAACTAAAATCTTTTTTTTTTTAACAACGTTTATTAGCTAAATATTTATATATTTATCCGGAAATTACTTTGAGTGAAGGCGCAAACAAGCCATTGAATCAGGGTTGTGAATCGATTCATTAAAATGGACAGTTTGAACTGATTCATAAATAACTCAACAACTCTAAATGCATTTTTGTGTCTGAATCGGTCAAAACACTACTTGCTAATTGTTGGATCAAAAATTTGAAATAATTAATCAAAAAGGACTGTTTGAACTTATGTTAATTAACTAACCGCATTTCTGAAGTATAAGTCAAAGCAAATCTGTCTCAACGTTCATACTCGATTTGCGAGACAAATTTAACGTCTTTAGGAAACTTAATAGCCAAATAAAAAGAAAATTAAATTCATTGCTATATTCACAAAATTAAAAGAAATAAGTGTATATAAATTCTAAAAACACACATGCACCTGAATATGCTTTCCTTCTGATAATCAGACAAGCATCTGAATGGAAACAGAGAGAACTGGTTCAAGTCAGAGCCACAGCCAATCAGATTTCAAACACACACACACACACACACACAAATGCACGCACTACTGGGCCCCCAAAGGTCTGTCACCAAATAAACATGCCTACACATTTAACTGATGCGGTATTTAGAGTAATAACAGAGAGTCACCTGACCAGTGAGACGTGTACACACAGTGACAAGTTGTCTTTTCTTTGTACTTCACCTGAGTGTTAATTCTTTTCTAGTTCATTTAATTTCTTTTAAACTACATCCCCACAATGCAAAGCCACAGCGTGTCAGCTCTCAAGACCACTGACCTCTTTACCCCCTACGTGAAATAACCCATTCATAGGCACTCGCAGACACACACACATGCTGTGTTTTCACGTTTTATGGGGACATTCCATAGACAATGTTTTTTATACTGTACAAACTGTATATTCTATTCCCAAACACCAAAAAAAAAAAAATCAGCATTTTTACAATTACAAAAAGCATAATTTAGTATTTTTTATGAACCGTTTTCCTCACAGGGACCAAAAACTGTCCCCAAAAGGACAAGGATTTTTTGTCCCTATAATGGGACATTTTGTTCCCATAACATAGAGTTTACCAGGACCACACACACACACACACTTACCAAGATATCCAAATAGAGACTTAGACTTCTATGGTTTTTATATAAGGCTAATTGTATTTAATACTGACTTCTACAAGTAATACATGTATATATTTATAAATAAATAATTTGGTTTACTTCTGAATCGTTTTTCCAGTTTAAAAAGTCCCTTAAGAGGGAGGTTTTGTATGATTTAGCTCTCTTCTGCAGACAAAATTGTACCTCAGGTACAGCAAAGTAAACACAACCACCCACACACACGTTTAACAGTTATCTAACTATTGTTCTTTTATAAATCTAATTATAATTGCTACAAACTAACCCTGACTCAACAAGAAAACTTTCATTTTAAGATTAAACTATTTGTCTATGATGTACAGTACCATTTTTACTTGTGAGGAATCTTTTGGGCATCCCTAAAGTAGGTCTTTATCAGATGTATAGCTACTTTTTTGGAGACAACTTCACCATTATACGCACCAGGAGGTAATTTCCACATTATTCACAGAAAAACAAGCCTCCACGGCTCTTGAAACAATTTTTGCTTAAGAAACAGTGATTAATCCTCAAATAATATTTGTGTCTTGTCCTTTCATGCAGTGCCTTTCCCCTTTGGAAAAAGAAGTACACATCTACGCTCATTAAGCAAACTCCTACGCTGACTTGAATGGGCCTTAACTTCTTTCAATCTTTTTCATTAGTTTTTTTTTTCTCTATAGATTGAGCCATCTCTCTGTCAGAAACCTGATTCTCCACACACACTAAATTATAGCACACCCCCTGAGTGCAGTTACACAACACACATACACACACAAAAGACCCGCAGAGCAACTTTCAACACAGTTTTCGCAACACAAGGACATTCTAACCTTACAACTGTAAGATGGAAAAGAGAACAAGGGAGGGAGGGAGGGAGGGAAAGAGAGATGTCAATTTAACTTTATGAAAATAAATAAGGTCAGAGGCGAAAACATGATCGCTGGACCATCTGTGAGAAGATGACAGAGAGAACAAGAAAGAAAAACAGACAAAACATGAGACAACGAAGGAGAGAATGACAGACGTCGTACGAACTTACCTGCGCTTTAATAGCTGTCAAAGAGAATCTACGTGTTGCATTAATCAAGCAGAACAGCCGCAATCATCCCTGTTTCTCTGTATTTCACCCTGTGTCGTGTCTGTTCTTGTAGGTTTTGACGGTCCAGAGTGATGAAAAAACTTTAAGTTTCTTGTTTTTTCTCTTTTACTTTCTGTCTCCAAACTGTTTCACTTCCCCGTCCCTGCTGTTCGTTCCCCTGTGTCTCTCCTTCACTGGCGAGGAGAAGGAGGAGGGAGGGAGAACGAGAGAGAGCGAGTGGAGAGAGAGAGAGAGAGAGAGAGAGAGAGAGAGTAATTAGTGCTAGTCTCTGTACCTGCCTCTCACTGACATAATCTTCACATTCCTCTGCTGTGAGGAGGGGGGAAAAAATGAACAAAAAAAATTGTAAGAATACTGGCCCAGTCTGAAATCCAGAGGGTCAAAAAACAAACTTATCGCAAAAAAAAAAAAAAAAGATATACTGTATTTAAGGAATATGAAATCTTCACACAGTGATAAGATGAAAGAGAGAGAGAGTGTGTATGTGTGTCTAGAGCAGTTAGTACCGGGAAATGTTTCTCACCGGGTTGGTCTGAGCAACCTGTTCCTTTCTGTGTGTGTGTGCGTCTCAGAAACTCACCAAACCAGAATGCTTCCAGGCTCTCGGATTGGAAACGCTATCCTCCCTCAACCTGGAGACAGGCCAGATCAGCATTCCACACACACACACACACACACACCTTACAAATATAAGAGCCCACCACCCCATTTGGTTTCTCCGATTTATGCAATAAAGGCCTTAAAGTGGCACAAAGATGAACACACACTCTGTTTCTCATAGACCTCTGGGAATGTTAATAATAATGGGAACTTTTTTTTAAATCTCCCAAATAACCATTTCACCTAATTCACTGACCTCAAGCTTGTGTGTGTATTTCAAATTATTACTTCATGAAATGCAATCATAGACAACATGTCACTTACTGTCTACAAAAACTAGATGTGATGTTTAACATGCTGTCTATTTATTGATTTATGTGTGTTCTTGCATTTATTTATTTTTGTATGGTTTTATATGTAAAGCACTTTGGTTCAGCCATGGTTGTGTTTTAATAGTGCTATATAAATAAATAAAAGAAAGAAAGAGAAAAGAACACGTCACGTACACATATTAATAAATAAATGTGCCACGTATACATGTATTAATCATTTGCTCTCTCATGTATGTACACGTATTAATCATTTGCTCTCTCATTTGCTATGACTAAATTACAATTACGTTTCTCGTTACAAACTCGCAGGCAACATTTTATTTTAACGTGATGTACAGTAGTTGCACATTACTTGTACTTACTATAGTAATATAACTATACATTATGTATCACTAACCCAAAATCATACCCTAACATTAACCCTTTAGTCGATTGTCTTGCCAGGCAAACAAATGGTTCATCTACTAATACACTCTAAAAAATGCTGGGTTGTTTAAACCCAAAGTTGGGTCAAATATGGACAAACCCAACCGTTGGGTTTTTGGGCATTTTTTAACCCAATAGTTGGGTTTGTCCATATTTGACCCAACTTTCCAGCATTTTTGATTGGAACATTTCACTAAAACATTGATTCCTTAACTTGGCTGAAAACAGAAATGAATGAACCAACCCCCATGTGTGAAACACAAGTCTCTGAGAAGAGTTCTATTTATTCTCACACAGAGAAAAAGCCTTTCATACAAGCAATGCATTCAACACACCTTCTCCTCGCTCAATAGACAGACAATGCAGAGAGAAAACAAGAGACGGAGAGAGATCGGAAACACTTCCTCAATGCTGGACATGACAAAGGCTTACAGGTGAATTACACATAAGCGAGAGCAGTAGGAGTGGACAAAATTACATTCCACATCTCTGGTTGCAGAGTCACTGTATGACGGTGACACAGCAAATTCAACATAACCTAAACTAGGGGAGCGTTTTTTGTATCTTAGTATATTTATTTTTGGGGGGCTGATTTCACACAGCCGCCATTTTGAAATTGAAAGCGAGGCTCCGGTGGGAAGAACTTTTTACATTTTGAATTATATATATATAAAATATTTTATTTATAAATGAATTTCACTGTATATAGTCTAAAGTATGAAAGAAATGTATGTACATTTTTAGAATAACTAATTTCTACATTAAACACAACAATACGCCATCAAATTCACGACCCTCCTATGATTAAAAGCAACACTTCCGGTTTTCTTCCCACCGAGGCGATTTCAAAATGGTGGCTGTGTGAAATCAGCGTATAATGACATAAATTGCTAAGCTTTTAATTAAAAGGTAAATGAAACCATGCGGTATAGGGTCAGTATGTTTTAATGAGTAGTTTTTGTTTTGAATTACTGGGTGGATTTGAGACACTGAGCGTTAGAATGTTAATCTGTTTAAAACCAATCACACTCCTGCCTGAAGAGAGGGGGTACAATCACACACTTTCTCCCACACACACACTCATTAACATGAGGCTCGAAAACATACACACAATAGGTCATTTGCAGGCCCAAAACATACATACACCACCCCCTCAACCCAAAACAAATACACACCCAGAGGAAACATTTATTTGTGCTTTACCTCTATAAAGCTTTCGTTTTCATTTACACATACTATTCAAACATGAGGTTGGTAAAATGTTTTAATGTTTCTGAAAGAAGTTCTAACCAAAGCTGCATTCAAATACAGTATGAACAGTAATATTCTAATATGCGGATTTGATGCTCAAGAAACGTTATGTTATTCTGATCACAGTTGAAAAAGGCTTGTGTTGCTTAATATTTATGTGGAAACCGTGATACATTTTTTTTCATGAATCTTTGATGAACAAGGTTCACATGAACTGCATTAATTAACAATATACATGTATTTGCGGTCCGTTTTGATAAACTAATGCATCCTTGCTGAATAAAAGTATTCATTTCTTTAAAAATAACTGTAGTGTCTACTTTGTCTTTGATGTTTCTCTTAAAATTCCTTAGCAGAAATGAAAATTAAATGAGACATCTGTAAAATTATTAGAATTTGGCTTTGGAAGGATTTGATGAGAAACGTTCATACTGAATTATCTTACTTTTAATTGCAGAAATTTGTATCTTGGTCTAACTGAGCAAGTTTATGACATAACTGTAAAAAAAATATTGTTGGTTTAACTTTAAAAGTAGTAACCTGGTTGCCTTAAAATTTTAAGTTCATTGAACTGGAAAAAGTGAGTTTATACAATGAAGGAGAATGATTTAATCAGAAGAAACTCAAAATTATATGTTATCTGAACTAAATAAATTATTTAAGTTGATTTGACAAAAGAAAAAATGTTGTGATTACTAATCATGAAAAGATTTTTTTTTTTTTTTACAGTGATCTTGCTAGGGTGTTGTTCTCCAGCGACAAATCTAAAAAGCAGGAGACATTAGCAAAATTCTGAAACATTGCTGTTTAAAAAGAAAACAATTGAGATTTTTAGATGAATACATAAATTTGAGATATTTTGGATAAAAATTGTCTGCTAAATGAATAAACAACTGATTTTTCAGTCCTTATCATTGTGCAGTTCTCAAATATAAATTATTAAAACACAAATTAACAAGTTTACAATGATTTATGATGTGGATATCAGCACTATGTTTACCACAAACCTTCCCACTTTAACAAAAGACACGAAGTGGCAAAAAGGATATTTTGACTGTATGAGGGTGACCTTGTCCTCCGGCTGCACTTCTGAACAATACTCTTATCAAAGTTGTTCCCTCTTTGTCTCAGCCTCACAAAAATCTCATACATATATAACTTCATTCATCTGAGACGCAAGCATTACAGTAAGTCTTAATTCTAACCCAACAAAACTCACCTATAAAGATTCATCCCCATCTACAAACTAAGATTGTCAGCTCTACGACAATGAATTTCGATTTTGTCCTCCAGATCTATTATTCAATTACACCTGGAACGTAAAATTTAGTGGTGACCCAGTGATACTGATGTATCCCAAACTTAATTTGATTGTGTTCAATCTGCTTAAATATATGTAAAATTTTAGTTTACTTAATCCGCTTGTGTTGGATTACATGATTGATAAGCATGCTTTGCATATGGATGAATGAATTAAGAAAGAATAAATGTTAAAATTAAATTTATGTGGGGTTTTTTTGGTTTGTTTTTTGAGAAAATGAGAAAAGCGGAAGACTTGATAGTGTGTAACTGTTTTTAATGTTCAATTACATTTGAGTTATTAGAACCATTTAAATTACAGTGGGTTACCATTGTGGAGAAGAGGGGAGTGTTTTGTTTGGCAGTGGACTGATTTATTTGGTTTAATGTTTGGTTGAATGAGCATGTTAATTTTATAGCAGTCAAGATGCTAATATGTGCTACTGCGAGCAAATAGCTAATCAATTTAATTATGTGTCACTCAAATAAATTAAATATTATTGGATGAATAAATATTAAAAAAATACCTGAATCATGTCCGGAAGCCTTTTAAAAAAATTACCTTGAGACTACTTTAATAGGGCCGCTTAAAATGACTTAATTCCATTATGTTGACGTTACATGAACAAATTATGTTTGTTTAACATAAACCAATTATGTGGAACCTGTTGAAAAAAATAATTAAAGCAAACATATTATTTTTTGAGTGTAGACACAGACTTGCAGATTACATTACATCTATTTTACTACAATTTTACTTCGTAAGATACATTTTTAGACAGTACCGTTGATCTAGATGATTACTTTGACATTACAGCCGATACGTTACATATACACGTTTACTTGCAAGTTTATTTTTTTAGACATTACCGCCGATACGTTACATATACAAGTTTACAAGTTTAGCCATTACTACCGATTATGTTACATCTAAGTACTTACTTCTACTTTTTTTATATACAGTATTGGCGATTAAGTTAATGACAATAACAATGCAACTGAAAATATTTCCAAATGAAGCTAAAGCAACCGTTGCATTTCACATAGCATCAAGTCGTTTAATTCCTGATTGAATCACAGTTTTCAACAAAAACTTGCATTAACATTTAACAATACTGTGTCTAAAAATTAAAATTATAAGTACATTTGTAGTAAAATAAACAACAATTGAAGTAAATGAATGTTTTAGACACAGTATTGCTGATTATGTTACGTCTATTTTAGTCTACCAACAAAAATAGTTCCAAATTAAGATAAAGCAACCATGGCGAGTCACAGAGCA